TCCAGCCATAGATATAGATATATATTAATAATAATAATATTGTTAAATTACATTTTTTCTATATTGTAGCCACTATTTTACTATATAAAATAAGCATGGAGATGAATTAAAATCTAACAAATTCAAAATAATTTTAAAATTGGATACTTTATAACGGAATATATCGTAAATAATGTTTAATTTAGTATAGCTAACAGATTCAAGCATTTTGAGTTTACCTGCTATTACGATTCACGTAATATTTAAAATCAATTTTTAAAATACATTGAAGTGACGAGTTTTTTATGGGTAAATAAATCCATCCTTACTTAAGATAAACATGCACGTATTTTAATTAATATTCACGGTGTTCAGTTAATGTTAATTAAATAGTGCACATAATATCGTCATATTATACAGTATTGAGTACACGCGTAATGTTGCATCCAATCTATATAAATATATATATTATTATAAGATGCGATTAAACTTGTTAATTCCAAATTTATCACGACCTCCMGGAGAAAAATTTATGCTTTTAAGGTTTTAAATAGTTTTTATTTTAAGCTCTCGTAAATAATTAAAACAGTTCAAAACGAACAATCACGACTTAAAAATATTTAATTTTGAGCGAAATTTTATTAGGATGCAGGAGTACCTACCACATTGCAATACAGTGTGTTATTTTATTTGGGTGTTTTTCAATGTTTCATCGATATAAACTATATTTGTTCATTGCGCGTGAAAAATATTTTTGACGGACTATTTTCTATCTTTCTGAAAGTTTATGCGTTGAAAAACGTGCTCATCGCAACCGATGAATTACAGTAATGAAAATAAAAATCGTATAAATTACTGCGGTGGTCCTCCAAATACTAACCAAACAGACGACTACCAATAAAGTGTCTTATTGACTATATCGATTGATTTTAAGCTAAGTTCGAAGTAAGTAAATCGTCCGTTTGGGAATTCCTCGACCAATACTTTTAAATCGCACCGGCCGCGTTAAGATAACGAGTATATTTTCTATGTAGGCCATTTGCGGTAAGGTCCGATACAGCGATACCATATAGTAGGCAATTTTAGGAAAAAAATTTCATACAAGAGATTGAAGATAATGTTATAACAATAGACACACAGGATATTGCTGTATTTGGAGTGCTTACAATATCCTCGAGGGTCTGAAAATGTTCGCCTACGTTGGATTAAAATATTTTGTTGGGTCTGTTAAATGTGACTTTTGGGAATGTAACAGTGTATTATAATATGTTACTGATCGTCGTGGTATTCAATTGTAGCTCGTAAGTGGGAAAGATTTAAAAATAAACAATATAGTTAATATATTATAATAATTTACACTCTTAGGTAGGTATATTAATAAGAACTAACTATAAGAACAATAAATCATCCATCGCCTATTATTATAAATTTATACCGTACCTATAATTTTATAATTGTCTTTGATTAATTCAGCTTAATTTTTTTTTCACTTAATYTTAGCGTGGTATGATTTTTTTATTGCAAACATTTAGTGTTCAATTTGAATTTTGTTCATAGTGACGTATATTTTAATAGTCGTCAAGTCCTCAGAAGTGAATATTTTTGCTCCCCCATTAAATCGTCACATCGGCTAGTCACATACATAACAAGTACTCGATTTTACATGTTTTTGGTCGGAAAAGTCAAATCGAATTTTAAAAATAAAAACGATTTCATGACAGGTACATATTATTATTATTCAATTATTGACACGATCGTATAAGCCATAATACGCATTTCAGTCGGACGATGTACGAGTGTAGTCAGTAGTCACGCGCTGCACAATAAATTCCATATCATCGTATTATATCGATATAGTATAAGCTATAACGTCTACACACACAATTTTTGTGTTATCGAGCCACACCACATCAAACCCGTGACGGTAAATTATAACTCCACGATTTCTTTCTTCACAATAATAAGCACACTATCAATCGAGCGATTATTATCATTATATTTTTTTGTTTCGCGCATAATAATAATATTTTCTAAGGGTAGAAAATCGAAAATACGTGTAGAGAATGCGAAAAGCTCCAAAGTTTTTAACCATCGTGGTATAATATGTACACTGTCGGTAGGAAGAGTGAGCAGAGACAGTAAAGATTGCGTGKCGTAAGGGAGAAAGCCTTGCAAGTTTTCTTTTTTCTTCGGCTTCTATGTGACAACCCCGAAACTTATAACTCAGATGGCCGGTTATTCAAATTCAATGTCCGGAAAACTTACTTTTTTTCGTTCGTTTCGTTTCAATCGCTCTATTCCCCTTCGCACACGACGAGAGTATTTTGTACTGTCATTATTGTATATAATACAGTCACAAAATAGCGAAAAACCAAACATATTTTTTGTTCCAATAAATTACGCATTTTATATATATATATATAAATAAGATGATTTTAACGGTCGACCCGTGTTTTTTTTTCATTCGTTTAATGCGGTCAGTTTTATTGCATATATATACAGGTTATTCATTTAGTAACATCACAAATCATGTTAATTCAATTTCGTTTACGTTTTTCATTCAATGCACCGAATATCGTTACATACAAAATATATTGATAAATTGGCTGTCTTCTATAAATATTTCACAACAAATAGGTACTTGATTAAAAAATGTATTATCGTATATAATATAAATTAAGTTTTTTTATACCTAGTAATATAAATTGTGATATAGGTATTTTAATTTTGCAGTTTTTCTTTACGTTATACCATCAATTCAAAAATTTAAACAACATCTTATGGTATTTATGATGATATTGAAGATTTAGTTTTTTTTTTTAAGTGCTTCATATTATTTTTCAATATCATAAATTAAKCAGTTTATGAAATTAAATTATTCATCAGTTTCCTACCTAAAAAAATTGTTAATGTTTTTAGATTTAAACATTTTTAACTAATAGTAATCAGTAGCTGACTGAGCAAATGATTTTGCTATAAGCGGTAAGCGAATCCTAAAGTGAACCTAAACCAAGTACATGCAAACAAAACCCAAACATCCTTTCGAAAAGCAATTTAAAATGCACGGGTTTTGACTTTTGATTTAGAACCGAGCAATTTCCGAGAACATTTTGGCAATCCGATGTACGTAAAGTAATGACTGATTCGCAAAATTGAAATACTGTGAAAGTAAATTAATTATAGAGATAGGTAGAACATTATTAAATAATAATTGTAAATGTTCTATCTTTGATCCTTCCATTCCTATAGTAAATAATATACAAAATGATTCATATTTACTCGATTATTTTTATCCTTAATAATGCATTTATATTAATTTTGATTTTTTGAATTTTTTTGTATACCGTCTAAAGACTATATGCTGTTAGATACCTCAACTATAAACAAATTTTTATTTCAAATTAGAGACATTCATCTTTATTGCAAAAGGTCAAGCAAGCGAAAACAGATGATTTTTGTTCAACGTTTTAATATWACTATTAAACTTTAAACTTTGTAGTTTTGTAGTTTACTCGTATATATTATGCAGTTGACAWAATTGATTTGGAACAACCTATGATTTAAAAATTAAAATAAATTATTGATCCATTAAAATTGTRTGATTTAATTACCTTAGTATAATAGTTGCGGAAATGTAATATATTTTATTTCAAATTTTATGTAAATTCACAAGAACATTTTTCTCAATACCGAAAATTAAATAACTCAAAAACTATCAGTTAAGAATTAGATTTAAATGTATCATCTTTACAGTTCACAGTAAAAAAATATTATTTTATTTGAAATAGTCTTATATCAGTAATAGGACACATAGAATATATAACTTCGRTGGTATAAAAACCKATCTATGAATATKGTCTCAACACTTTTAAATTTGAAATTTTAATGAATACACTATTAAATGATAAAATAGGTAGGAGTGAGTATGCAAGGTGAATTACATGTATTCATGAGTTGATACATATTTTGAACTTTAACAACTACTTCAGTAATACAAGGTAAGTTGAAAAATGAATTAAGTGTTAAAATTTATCTGAAACATCGTTAGTTATAGCTTATACGCTATAAGTTTTGATAATTTTGTCTTCAAATCAACCATTACAAAATCGAATTATCCTTAATACTTATGAATTATGGGGATTTGTTTATTGTATACCTATAGTTAATTTGTTGTTCTTGTCCGATTTAAATGTATTAATCATTTATGATCTAGATTTTACTTAACCTTCTCTATTCAATGATGTAATTAGGTTTAATCTCAGTTKAAATAATGTGATTATGAATGCCAAATAGGAAATAAAATATCTAAGCACCTTAATTTTATGTTTCATATTTKACGACAATTATTTAATCAAACAAATAATATATTTCGTATCTGAACAGTAATTTAGTTGATATTAAATTTGTATTGCATTCAATAAATGCATTATAAATTAAGCTATATATTACAATAGTAATAATATTGTAATGACAAAACTTCAAAAAAATAACAAAAATAAAATTTTGCAAAATGCACAAAAAAATTAAAAATTATTTCCCAGAGCAAAAGTTTTATTTGCGTAATTCAATCACACTCTGTTGCTTAACATGCAGTTATAATGAAGAAGTTTATCAAGCCACCCTTACCGTACCTAAAAAAAAWGTTCCATATCGAAATTATTTTGTTATAGATATGTCTACACTCTACACCACATCATACGTAATATTACGTTATTGATACGGCACTGGTCACCACTGTGAGAACAGGTAATTCACTTATATACTAATTCTGTTTATTAAACATAATTCAAACGATTTAATGGAGTAGGATAAARAAAATAATTTAATAATATTACTGATTACGATAGATTCAGTGGTTATTTATACTTATATGAACGATTAATAAAGTATAATGATTAATGAAACTACATAATTGGAAATTATATGATATTACCTATTGTTTTTTTTTTTTTTAAATCTAAATTTATCAGCGTAAACCAAATACAGATTTGAAAAAAAAATAATTAATTTTCATTACTTACCAAGTATGTACAGCGTGAATAGATATAGTAGAGCGTTCATTCCGTTCGTTTCAAAAAGTTGTAAATTAAACAATATCTGAAAAAAACATAAATGAATATGGATGTGCCTGTATAAACTCTTAAAAAGTATAATGGTTCTATTCAAGTATTCCAAGTAAGTGATGTATAAAAATGTGTATGATGTACAGTTTACTATCAGTGCGATGAAAATTTCAAATTAAATTTTCATAATTGTATATAAAACTGGGTCGAATTAGARGATGATGAAATTCAACTACAAACAACATCGCAGGTAAATGTCGATGAACCTAGCCGTTCATTTTAGCATTATAACGTTCARCATAGTTGTACGTGTTTAAATTGGGTGGGTTAAAGTATAAGGTATAACGATAAAATTAATGTTAAAAAAGAAAATTAAAAAACCAATCACTGCGATAACATTATAATTTTATAATAATTGTATGCCTGCGTTCCATTTCAGAATATTAGAGATTATAATCGTAAACAATCGTAATGATATTCGTAAAAAGACCATATTCATCGACCTCACACTAAAAATAATAAAATATGCAATTTAGAGTAGATATATGTAGGTGCTGGTAACAATCAAAATTCGATGTTACAAGACTACAATGAAACAGTCAATCAAACAGTAACAAAAAACTACATCGTCTACAAACCGAATTAAAGTGAAAAAATTACTAATGATTTAAATGCATGCTAAACACGATTACCGTTTATAAATAATATTATTGTTCGTCCACTGAAGATCGCACTGGCTCGCCGTGACATAGTTTTCTCGTACACCAACAATAACGGAGACAACAACAACGGTTTTAATAATATTATTAAAATAATAATAATAATATGATTTATGACAGTGTCAGAATGCGTCTTTCGTCGATATAAAGAAATCGGTGATATCGTCCGGGAGATATTATCACATAATAATATTATATTGTATCATATTATTTGATTGCTTAAAACAATAACAATAATAATATTATTTTAATAATCTATTGTATAATATAATATACCGATTACTAAAATGTTTTATCAAGAGCGAACTGTATACGATGGTGTGCAACAGCGATCGAACGATTTGTATACATTTTTAAYTTCTTAAATAAAAAACACGTACCTATCACGAACTCCCGTCGGAGTAACGGTTTCGCCCGCGGATCACACGACTTCAGCAAGACGGCCGGCGGTGTAGTGTGATAAGTCGCACGCCGAAACGTCTAATGCCGGTCCTGTTGTAACGAAGTCGTGCGCTCGCAGTCTCCGCGGCGCGCGTTGATACCACTGCCACCCCCTCCTTCCCAACTGTAACCTTCACCACTACCACCACCCGGGCCGATGAAAGTCCGAAAGCCGCGCAAGGTTTGCCCCGCCACCGTGCCGATATCGTGTACGCCGCTGTACACCTTAAACCACCGATACCCATCCCCCGACCGAACCACCCTCCCAACCCTAAAAACCACAGAGACCCACCGCCGGCCAAGAGCTGAGTCCACACCCCCTGACCACCCCTAATACGCGACGCGTGTGCAAAATACATCATACGACATTATTGTTGTATTTTTAGTTTTTGCCATATCGTTTTTTTTTTCTTTGCGAAAGAGTTTTGATTTTTTAAAATTTTGAAATATTAGTTTTTTGTTTAGCAATACCAACATATTATTATTATAACATCGTACAGATAAGTGAATGGTTTTTTGGAGGCTAAAGGTGTTCCTTTTGTTAAAAATAAAATTATAATTTCACTATATTATTTTAACAACGTTTAAAAATGTAATATGTTTAAAAAAAAAACCGCAAAAAATGACCAACTTAAAATCACATCAAAATTTTCGACGTTATTTAAGAGGGAACTTAATTTATTATCATCCTAAAGATATGAACTAACTATAAGTAATAATATTATTGTTATTTATTATCATTTGTTGGAATCGAAAATTTGGTTTCATATATTATTATACATGTTTTAAAAGAATTACACTCAACAATATGTTTTTGACAGAACCACTTATTTTATTGGTTTTTAGTCTTAGATAAGTCATCTATCACGCAACTATTATAATTAATGTTGTTTATTATTACAATAAAGAAGAAGAACATTATTTTAATTATTTCACTGGAAGTTGAGGATTTTAATATTTTAAAA